CCCCCCCCCCCCCCCCCCCTCCCCCAGTTTATGGGTGGTTTGCCGTCTCGGAAGAGGTGAAAGGGACGGGATGGGGGAATACCTCAAAACGTTCTTTAGATTTTAAATAACCTAATGGAGTCTGTGATGTAGCAGTTAGACGCTTCGCTGTCGCACGCAGGAGACTCGAGTTTGATTCTAGAGCGGGATTTTTTTTTTAAATCAAGCGTCTCGCTAGGTCTTTCTGCTGGGATGCATCTCTCTTAGCCTGAGTTAGCATTGATAGGCAGGGTCTGAAGCTCCCCTCCTAAAGGATATACATTGTGTCGACGAGTTATTAAACATTGTACTTGGGAAAGAAAGATTTTACAATGTCTTCCATGTGTTTATCTCTTTAAAGCGTTCTTTATGTGTGCCTTCTCTTCCAAAATAAGAGGAAACGCATTTTTTGTCAGTTCAGACTGAGTTTTACTGGAGTTATTTTTTTTTCTTGGTTGGAGGGGGATTGAGGGGGGGGGGGTGCTCCCTACGTGTATGGATGAATAACATTATAGGACTCAGCGTTGGCTGGCGTTTTATCCCAGCCACCCATTAGTTTCTTTATTTGACCATTCCCTTCGAACACGTGTCACATCTTGTTCTATTTCCATGTCAGCAAGTTGAAGGAATGTGTCAATTTGGTTGGATACCCCCCCACCCCCAACCACCACCGGCCACACGCCACACACGCACAATATAAACTCACCTCTTTAAATAAGAACAACAACAACGACTTGAATACAGAACAACAGCAACAACAACAACAACAAGAACGTGCAAATACACGACAACAACAAAAGCTCACTTTAAAAAAAAAAGACAATTTTTTACGACTTCCCAATCCCAATCTGCTCAAATTTTGAACAATAACTATGTACGTGTACATGTTTTTCTTAGACGCATATATTGTATCCATAACACTGTTGTTTGCTGAGGGCGCTCCTAATCAACTTTGCTTTATTGTCATCAGGAATCTCATTATGGCATTAGCTGGAGACGAGAAAGACGAGAACAATGAAGGTGCTGAAGGCCCAGAGATTGAAGGTGAGAATTTGCTCCTTGAGAGAGGAGTTCAAACTTTTGACTAAAATCCGTTTTCCCCCGCATCACAGCAATACATAATATAGCACATGCATTATGTTCTCCCTCCCACCATTTGTTTCGCTTTCTAATCTTTGCCATCTCTCCTCCCACTCTTCCTCCTCTTCTTCTTCTTCCCACTTTTCCTCCTTTTCCTCTTCTTTTTCCTCCTCCTGCTCCTCCGGGAACAGAGTCTGCAAAAAGCCTGAGTAAAGTAAAGAAAAAGGTTGATAATGAAGAAAGAGAGGGGATGAGATGAGAGGAGGAGTAAGTTAGTAGTCAGTAAAGAACACACAATATTACCGGTGTTCTCTTTGTGGCGCGAAGCAATGCAAACAGAAGGAACACTTTTCATTCTGTATGACACCGGTTGATCGCATTACGGCTTTTCCGTCACAGGCCGCTTGGTGTGTGTGCTTATGTGTGAGAAAGATAGGGGGATAGGGGGGGG